AGAGAGAGAGAGAGAGAGAGAGAGAGAGAGAGAAAGCTGAGATGAAAGCATGATAGTACACGACTAGAGAACAGGGAAGGAGGTGGAAGGAGAACATTTTAGAGAAGAAATTTTTTCGGCGCTGTTAGGGCTCGAACCCAGGACCTTTTGAATGAAATGTGAACACTTGACCACTACGCACGAGAGCCCCTTAAATATGCAGTTTCCAAGGATACTTAGATATAAGCTTTGTATGTATAGTCACCAAACTGTGGCGGTCATTTTCTCGTTTATTGTACCCCAGACACCGGACCACACTCACCTCTTCTATTCCAAACATCTCGATTTCTATTCTATACAGATGGGCATGTATGTTTGTATGTTTGTATTTATGTATGTGTATGTTCGTATTTATGGATGTATTTACGGATATAGTTACAGGTAAGTATGCATATATGTATATGTGAGGCAGCGTGGTGGAATCAGGCTCTCGTCAAAATAATGAAATCGAAGAAAGTTTTCTCCCTGCTTAGCAATTTTTATCATTTTTTTGTTTTTTGGATCAACACCTTTTATGTCCATTTACCAACACATTCCTTTGAGGATTTCACCGAAAACGTTGATTAAAGGCACAAAAGTATGAATTTACAGTGTCCATGGACTCTCCAGCTTTGGAATTTACAAAGCGTTGGCAGCCATTTTCTCCCTAATTTTACCTCTTAAACCATGTGACCCTCACCTCCTTCAATCAAAAATATCTCCACTTCTATTGAAGATGGATGGGTAATTTTTTCATAGAAAGCAAGACAAATGAACAAGCTTTAAGATGATACCAATAACTCAATATGCCCAAAAATTGACGAGAGCCTGATTCCACCACGCTGCATATTACATGCATATGTTTACCATTTAACCCAAATTTCGCCATGTTGATCAATAAAATGTAATTGTATTTTGTTTATAATTTGTTGATGCTTATTTTTTCTACAAAAGCAAAGCGGGTAATAACACCAGCTCCCCATTGTGCCTAGAAATTGACGAGCCGCTGATTCCGCTGCGTTGTGACACGATATTATTGTCCTATCACACAATACCTACAAAGAACAAACTAGAGTCGTGTGGATGGGAATCTGTTTTGAAAAAAAAACCTCCTTTGTTACAACTGCCATAATTCATAATTGTCAGGCACCGTGGTAAATTCAGGCTCTTGACAAAATATTGAAATTGAAATAAAATCCGGCATTTCTCTACCCTTTTGGCAATTTTTGTCGATATTGTTTCTACTCAACGCCTTCTATGTCCATTTAAAAACACTTTTAAGTGTGTAATTTACCGGAAATCGTTGACTAAAGGCATCATAAAAAGTACATTTGTAGTCTCCAAGGTCTCAAAAGCTTTGGAAATCACAAAACTTTGGAAGCCATTTTTTTATAACAACCCGGCAACCCCTACCTACCTCTTTCAATCCCAAACATTTCAACTTCTCTTCAAGATAGATGGGCATTTTTTTTATCAAAAGCAAGACAAATGAATGGGTTTCAAGATGATACCAACAACTACACATTATGCCCCAAACCTGGACGAGCCGCTGATTCCACCGCGTTGTGGCGCAATATCCTATCACATATTACCTACACAGAACGAACTAGAGTCGTGGGGGCGGGAATCTCTTTTAAAACAAAACGAAACAAAACAAAGCAAAACGAAAACCCCTTTTGTTGCAACTGACATAATTCATGAGTAATAGACACATACCACGAGCCTGCCAAACCAGTTCCCAAGCTGAGACAGAAAAAATAATACGTGTGGTATACTTTTGAACCGGACACAAACTACTGTGTGCGGTTATCTTTGATGTGTGACAGGAGGCTTAAAAACTACAGTGCTGCCAAACATAATTAAATCATGATTGATTGTTCAAGGAGAGGGGGTAGGAAGAGGATATGGCTGATTGTACTTGTATGTAATCTTGTACGCCCCCACATTGAGGTAAAAAATTTCTTTAAATGGTGTCAAATGTTTGGGTGTTGTTATTCTGTTTTGATCGCTGTTCATACAAAACGAGCATAATATATACAATAATTTAAAGCATTAAAAGTAATCAACCTCCGTCACCCAAAACTACCACCACCTCCCCCGACCCACTCCCTCCCACTCAAGCTGAACCACAAGAGAATGCTGCCACATTAACATTAACCATTCTTTTTTTAAGTTTTAGTGAGAGCTTTACGGCACTTGCAACACAGTTAAGTCATATAAGTGTCAAAGATTAAAGGTGTTACAAAAGAGAGTAACAATCACAAAAAGGGGAGGAGGAGGGATATTATATAACCACAATTGATATTTGATAGGACAGCAGGGCACCCGAAAACCACCCACCTTTCCTGTCGTTTTTTGTTTGGTTGTTGTTGTTGTTTTGTATATTTCATGTTTTTGTTTTGTTTGAGATGTTTTTGTTTTGTGGTATTTTGTTTGTTTTTGTTTTAACTGGGGGGGGAGGGGGTTGTGTGTGTGTGTGTGTGT